CAAGTACACAAGACATTGAAACTTGATTTCTCAAGAAAATCACATGTTGAGCTTAAGCATGTGATTTTGAATTATGATCAAATATAAGTATCTAAACTTGTTGCTTATAAATATATACCCTATTTGCAAGCTAACCCACGAGCTCAAGCACCCTGAAATTCTCCCCAAACTCCCTCAAACCAGAAATTATCCAAAAACTCCATTGATGCACAAATTCTGACTTTGAACTTGAAACTCAGAATCTACTTGTGCGTTTCTTGACCTTTTGGTTCCTAAAGCTCCTATACATCAAATATAACATATCCCTGTCCCTGTTTCATAATTGTAACACCATTTGCATCAAACTCCATAACCAAAAACAGAGCACTGCAAGTTGACTTCTCCAAGCCATTCCAGCCATCCATTGCTCAAGCTAATCATTGTATTAGCTTCCTGGGAACTTGTGGAAGCTAACCTGATCATTGCAACACCTTGAATCAAACTCATTTGCATTTCACGATTTCCAGTTTTGAGGTATCATTTCTAAATTCTATCTTTTCATTTAGGCATTGTTAGGCTTGCATTTGTGAAGATAAATTGTAGACATCATTGCCCTGAAATTGTACATGTCCATAGATTTCATTTATATTGATTGAGCTTAGAGAATTTTAGGTTTGAATCTCTGAAAATAATTAGGTTAGAATTTGGTACTTTTAGAAATTCTCATTCATCTTTGATTTATAGCTTATGATATTTATATGGCCGGATTCGTATGGAAAAATGGAGCAACTTTCATGTTTGCATATTTCATTTTTGTTGAGAAATGGTGAAGTTACAGATGTTCATGTTGGAGGTTGAAGATGAAGTCATATTCAGGACATGACTTGTGTTATGTATTTATTGTTTTGTTTATGTTACCGGATGTACAACCACCCTAGTGGCAAAGGTAGTGCGCGTGTATGCTGAGGGTTAGGGGTTCAAGTCCCAACGCTACCTTTTGTTCATTTTTCACATTTTTTCTTCCTTTTTTGTTCCAGCGAGCAGGCGCATGGGCCTCTATCAATGGGCCTACCATTCTTTTGTTTCTTATAACCCCTGTCTTTGCTTTTGCACACCTGACCCAATTATTTTTTTTATCATTTCATTTTTATTTTTATTTTATTTTGTTTCATTTTTTCTTTATTATATTATTATTATTATTATTATTATTATTATTATTATTATTATTATTAATAAAAAATCCAAAAATATTTTATTTATTATTTTTACGCTTATTTATTTTATTTTCTTTATAAAGACAAAAAGACTAAAAACATTTTTCTTAACAAACTAATTTCTTTTTCTTATATAATTAATATTTAGATTTAGGTTTAATTATTATTTTTTTCTTTTATCTAAAATCAATTTACAATTTAGGTTTCTTTATAATTCATTAATTTTCATATTTTATTTTATTAAACTTAAAATCTTTCACAAAAAACCCTAAAAAATACTTTTTAACCTAATTTTCTTTTCTTAATAAATTTAGCTTTAATTTTATTTTATCTTTAATTAATTATTTTTCCATTTTAGTAATTAGGTTAAAACCCTTTCACAAAAACCAAACAAAAATCATTTCTTTTTCTTTACATTCTTGCATTATTTTCTTTTTAATTCTTGTATATTATTCAATATGGTTGTAATAGATAATTAGGTTTAATTTTCTTGCAAATCCCCATTTGTAAATTTGTATACCCCCTCCCTCCCCTAATGATGTAATAGCGTAGTAATTTTACTTTGTGCAATTTATCTCTTTATGTAAATGTTAGTAATTAGGGTTTGTATGGAAAGACTAAAATCAACAAGTAGCAAACCCTAATTCAAGATAAACAATGCATGTAAATCAAACACATTTCCACACTTACACCCTTAGGGTAATTCCACTTTGTTGCCTTATAAAAAATAGCCATGTTATACATGTGGGATATCTTACCAAAAAGGAATAAAAAATACAAGATCATAGTCCCTCGATGACGCTATCAATGTTGCCTTTCAAAATGATCTTAGTCCCTCAAAGAGAAATGCTAAGATATCTCACAACATTGTTATCATGGCTATACGATGACCCATGCTCATCCCTTTACATCTAAAGATAAGGCTTCTTACCAATCAATGGTGAGATAGCAATATCAAAGGAAAGGAAGAAATAATAAAGACTTTTGAGTAGGTAGATTGTTCCTAGTTGCTTGCTCATTTTCAAATCAAACATCCTTGCTTATTTTCAAAACAAACACCAAACACTTTCAAAAACACTTTCAAAACACTTTCCAAACATGAAATATTTTCAAAAGCCCAACACTTTGTATACGTTCGTAAGAAAGAGAACTATTACAAAGTTTGCCTAAACAAATGCGCCATTTCAAAATACTTTCAAAAACCACATAAAGCACTTTTTCAAACAAAAGCAAGTGATCTAGCAAGCAACTAAGAGCCCATAGATAATTATGGATGAAAAATATACTAACACATTCCCTTTTCATAATCTACCCTCCGAACTCAAGAAATAATCTCAAAGGTCTTTCTTGTTCTTTTCAGCCTTTCCTTTTGGATAAAAGAAAAGTTGGTGGTGACTCTTGCTAACCGCAACATTTGCAATCAAACGCAAAACATCCCAAGTCAGTTCTCCCACTGTATCATACAAACACATCGATGTAAGGCTGCATTTTGTCAGAGGGGTAATTGAGCATGGAAAAGTCTAAGTGCTGAAGGTTTCGATATATCACAATGCTGCTGATATGATCACCAAAACTTTGTCAAGTTACAGGTTTTTCCACTGTATGCAGTTGATAAAGCTGTATGAAGAAAGCTACTTTATTATCTTGATGTTATAGAGTTTGTTCCAAGGTGGAGATTTATGAGATATTGAATCAAACTCTTGTATGGTCAAAGGGTAGCTTTTTGGTTCGATAATTTTATAGGATCTAAGCATGATGTCAAAGTTGGTTCGCATGCTGGGGTCGAAGACCTTCAATGCTGTAGTCGAAGTATGTTCAAGTATGCAGTAGTCGAAATGCTATGATTGTTAGTATGTAGAATTGAGTTTGTTTATTATACTCAATTGTTTAAGTTAGCTTATTCCCTAAGCTAACTTGTAATGAGTCTGTGTGTAAAAGCCCATTAGTTTAGTGTGTTAGTTTTCTTATAAATAACATACTAGTCTCTCATTATTGCAATAATGCAAATCTTAATTAGGGTGAGAGAGTTATTTGTTACTTTGTAACACTTGTAATCTTGTTTTAAAGAGAAAATAAAAAATAACAATTAATAACCAATTCACTGTGTTCTTCTTGCTTCCCTTGTTTTTTTTATCCTTGTGGGTTTCTCACCGAGAAGAAACATGTTATATTCTGTTTTTGGCATCATTTTCACAACAAATTGATTGATTGTTAGTACACATCCCATTTTCTTAAAAAAATTGAAATGAAGATTTTTAACCTCCCTGAATGATTTGAATTTATAAAAAGAAAGACAACACCTAGTGATTTCCAATGAAACTTTTACATAACTACCATCTTTTTTCATTTTAAATACTAAACTACCATACTTTTTCCAATAAATTCGAAAAAACCATCTTTAAAAAAAAATATTTTGAAGTGCCTCCGCTAGTTGGATGGGCGGACCCTCCTATTTTATTATTTAAAAAAAATTAATTTTATTGCAGATTTTCTTGCGAAAACTAAATTTCATGAATTTTCCTGCGGTTTTTTCCACGAATTCTGGTTTCTACGAAACTTCCAGCAAAATTACCTGCAGATTTTAACAAAATATGTAATTCTTCATGAGTATATTTTTCGCAGGAAAATTCACAGATAATTATCAGATAAATAATAAAAATAAGATTGATCCGCCAAAAAATTGGATGGATGTGTTGTAACAATTTTTGTTGTTGTTGTGAAAAGATAGTAGTTTGATAATAAATTAAAAAAATATGGTATTTTAGATAATAAAATAGAATAGAGTGGTAGTTGGTAGAGGTGTTCAAAACAAAACCAGTTTAATAGAAAACCGCAAAATCGAACCGAACCAAATCAAAACTGTAAAAAATCGCATTTGATTGGATGTGTTTGGATTATTTTTTAACGAAACCAAACAAAACCGCATTATGTTATAAAATCTTACTAACTAATATATATTTCTGTAATTTTTTAGAGAAATCAACATGTATTATGTGTATATTTTATCATACTTTGTATGATATTTATTTTAATTTATAAATCATAAAATATTATTCATTTATAAGTACTATTTTAACAAAATATATTTTATCGTACTCTTTGTATAATGTTTATTTAAGAATGCAATTTTATCTATATAATTCTTTTGATTTAGATAAAATTATAATATATAATTTTCTGTATCAAATTACAAATTTATTTTGACAATTATAAAATTTTTTATGATAACATATGAACAATTAAACACAAAATTATATTTTCCTTTATATGTGTATGTATGACTTAATAATCTTAAAAAAAAAATCAAATCAACCGAACCAATTCAAACCACATTAGTTTGGTTTGGTTTGATTCATATTTATTTTTAAAAGTTAACTAAACCAAATTAAACCGCATATTTTTTTCTCTTACAGTTCGAGTGATTTTTTACTTCAAAACCATCAAAATTACACCACAAAAACCCTTGGTAGTTTGTAACCATGAGAAAAGAAAAAGCAAATTGAAATATAAATATTTAGAATTTAGTTTAATCTGAAAAACGGACGAAATTAAAAAAAAAAAGTTTTTCCCCTTCCTTTATTATAATAATAAATAGATTTATTTAGTGAGCCATTGTTTCTCCATCTTTGTCTCTGAGTCTATGAAGGTATTGTTTTGTTTGTTTGTCTCCCACTTTTCAGTTTTCACTTACCCTTTCACTAACAACTTTGAATTCATGCAACAACACTAACCAATTTTCATCCACAAATCTCCCAATGCAAACGTGAAACACCTCTTGAATTTCCTATTTCGCTCGCGATTGAAGAAATGGTGTTATCAGCTTCGCCATCTTCTCTTACCAGAAGCTCCTTGGAAGAGATGTTAGATTCCCTTCGCCGCAAGGATCAAGACCAAGACAGCAACAAGGACTCGCCGCCGCCTGCTTTGCCATCCCGCCCGGCATCCAAGGCTCGCCTCCCGCCGGCCAGGCGCTCCTTGCCCAATAATTTTAAGGTCTGCAACGCTGGATTCAATGACAATGTGGAATGCAAGAGGAAGGAAACATCAACACCTACATCATACAAGACAAGAGAAACCAGTTTTGGGAGAAAGAGGGTCAAGATGGATATTGTGGAGTCACCTTATGTGCCTCCTATTTCTGAATTCCATACTCACGCTCTTTCTTATTTCATTCAAATCGTAACTCTCAACTTTCTAAACTAATTCATTCCTACTCTCCTTTTTAAATAATATCATCATCATGAATCGACTTTTAACAATCATTCTCACTGCATCTTTGCTTTCTTGTTTCTTTCCTACAGAAGCTTAGTGTTTGGTGTAGGCAACCAACAGGGCAATGGGACCTAGGGTCAATAAATTCAACTTCCGGAGAGGAAGTATCTGTTTCACTCTCAAATGGAAAAGTAAGTTTTTATGCTTTTCCATTTTCCAAGATACTCACTAATCTTAACTTTGGAATGCTACAAGTTTCTCATGCTATTCAGTGCTTACTTCAGGTGCTCAATGTGCCTACATCAGAACTTGTACCAGCCAATCCCAATATTTTAGATGGCGTGGACAACCTTATTAAACTCGCTTATGTGAATGACCCATCGGTTCTTCACAATCTTAGGTTTAGATATTCTCAGGAGATGATTTATGTATGTATGCCTGCTCTGCCTTTTTCCTTGGCTTAGGTGATCGTATATATATGATCTCATAAGCTGCTCTTGCTTTCTGTCTGCAGACTAAAGCAGGGCCCATTTTAATTGCACTCAATCCTTTCAAAGATCTCCACATTTATGGAAGTGATTATCTTTCCAATTATAGGCAACAACTTGTTCATAGTCCTCATGTCTATGGTATGGTAGATGCAGCTTATAACCAGATGATGAGAGGTGAGTGGGGACTGTTTCCCTCTCTTTGTGTCAAATTTTTGTGTTTGTAATTGAATTACAAGTTTATAAAGCTTTTCTATTTGTCTTCTTTTGTATCTTGCAGATGAAATAGATCAGTCCATTATCATAAGGTCAGCATTTTAGTACATTGGAAACTCTTTTTGTGTACTAATTGAGTAACTGTTAGCTTTAGCTTGTATTAGCTGGAAAACAAAAAATATAATAAAACCTAACAACGCCTATCTATTGTAATTAACTTGTGCTAACTCAGCACAAGTCCCTCTGGTATAAATACCAGTTCTTTTCCCTCATCTAACTAAACTTGACACAATCTCAAAATACAAAGAGCCAAGATCTCAGATTTTCCCACTCTTTCTCTCTGATTCTCTACTCTTACCATGAGTTTCTCGCTTTCTATTATGCACAATACTTATATATATGTTCTTGAACTTGATGACACTCAAATTTCATAGTAGTAACAAATATAAATTCTAGCAGTTGCTGAAATTCACCATTAGAATTTGTTTGCAGTGGTGAGAGTGGATCTGGGAAGACAGAGACAGCTAAAATTGCTATACAATACTTAGCTTCTCTTGGCGGTGGCAGTAGTGGGACAACAAATGATGTTCTTCAAACAAATTGTATACTAGAAACTTTTGGGAATGCAAAAACATCTGTGAATGACAACTCAACCAGATTTGTGAGTATTTTATTCCCAGTGTAATGGAACTTACTCATGCTATTGTTTTATTAGGATTTCTTCCGTTGAAAGGTTTTCCAACAAGTATGTCCATAAATTTGAAATTTTAATCCTGCTTTTAATTGTTGAAGGCTATGCATCACCTTTTGGATGATCTTTAAAAGCTGAACAGTTTCATTCATATACATTTTTAATTTGGTGCAGGGAAAGTTTATGGAAATTCATTTCAGTGCCACGGGTAAAATATGTGGGGCTAAAATTCAAACCTGTAAGCTAATTCAAGCTATACATTTTACTACACACGTGCTTGATTTTTTATCTCCATTTCTATTGTAATTACCGAGTTAACTTATTTTTATGGCTCTGTGTTTGTCATATTCAAACCCATATTCTAACTTGGACAGATTTGTTGGAAAAGGTAAACTCTGGTGCCCTATCATGTTTTAAACTGTAATGTTTATCTCTTCCTACTAATGAAAAATATCACGTGTTCTGTGAGCAGTCAAGAATTGTTCAAGTGGCCAATGGTGAGAGGTCGTATCATGTACTTTATCAACTTTGTGCTGGATCATCATCTAGTCTTAAAGGTGTGTCTTCTTAGCAATCTATTAACTTCTTTGTCTACTTGTATACTTTTCTGTCTCACAGTTTGTATATGGCGTATTCATTTCTATTTATGGGGTTTATGCAATCAGTTGAAGTCGTAATGATCATATCATTTACTTTAAAGAGCCAAGTAGCCCATTTTCTTTGGACTGTAGTAGTCCATTCTTTTGTTATTCTGAAAATATTGAAGTATTCGGGATATTTTTTGGGGTTTTACTTGCCCTTATGTTACCATTATTGAAGCTGCCATGCTTAGACAATGAGTATCATCTTCTGTTGAATACTGTTGAGAGTTCCACATAGATGGCATATGACTTGAAAAAATGTTTATAAGGGAGAAACATCCTTCACTGTGTAAGCCGGTTTTGTAGGGTTAAGTTAGACACAATCTAAAATTGTAAAATGGTATCAAAGTCTATCGAAGATCTCTTGGGTCACCTGCTATCAGGCCACTTGGGTCACACTCCAAATGTCTAGTCACGGGCGTGTCGATGGTGTGCTGATAGTCTACATTTGATGAGATGCAACATGAAAAAGTGTTTATAAATGTGGTATCAAATCCATATATTTATTATCAGGATTAGTACAATAGATTAGGATTTTAGTGGACAAATAATATCAATAAGCATTTATTTGATATGATATTATCAATTGAGGTAAGTGTGGTCTGCTGAGAGTCTACATTTGATGAGATGCAACATGAAAAAGTGTTTATAAATGTGGTATCAAATCCTTATATTTATCATTAGGATTAGCACAATAGATTAGGATTTTAGTGGACAAATAATATCAATAAGCATTTATTTGATATTGTCAAAACCCACGATTCTCTCTGTATTTTAGGATGTTTTATATTTGCTATAACAATTGTATCTTGCTATTATTAGGTCTAGGTATTTATGATCAATCCCATAATTACAGGGATTTGTTCCTTTAAGAATTAGTTATCCATATTTCCTAAAATAGGCTGCAGGCTCATGTATATATACAGGTCTAATGATCTAATAATATAATAAGAAATATATTATTCCTTTTAAATCTGAGATGGTATCAGAGCTCCTGATCCTTGGGAGTCTCTGACCGTGTCTGTAAACCCTAATTTGCAGCCTTCATTGCTGCTTGCAGCCTTCATTGCTGCACCCTCTTTAAGCCCTGTTGCAGCCTCTCTACCTTGATCACATCTGGTCATGGCTGAGATCGTGAATCCCACTCTGGAAACTGGGGACAAACCCCAGACCAATGGAGAATTACAGAATGTCCATTCTGCTTATCGGCTAAATGGGAAGAATTATCTCAAGTGGTCTCAACTCATTAAGACCATCTTGAAAGGAAAAGGAAAGGTCAGTCACTTGACTGATAATATACCTGATGAAACAGATCCCAAGTTCAAATCCTGGAATGAAGAAGACTCCATGATTATGGCGTGGCTGTGGAATTCAATGGTCTCAGAAATCAGTGATACCTGCATGTTCCTTAAGTCAGCAAAGGAAATTTGAGAGGCAGTAGAACAGACTTATTCTAAGGCCAAGGATGCTGCTCAAATTTATGATGTAAAGGTGAAAACCGTGGCAGCCAAACAGGGAAACAAATCTGTTACTGAATATGCCAATCAACTCAAGTCTCTATGGATGGAATTGGACCACTATAGAGTTATAAAAGCAAAGTGTTCAGAAGACTCAACAATCCTTAAAAAGTATATTGAACAAGATAGAGTATATGATTTTTTGGTAGGCTTGAACCCTGAATATGACCAGGTCCGAATCCAAATCCTGGGAAAAGAGAAAGTCCCAGGGCTTAATGAAGTGGTAGCCATTATCCGGAGTGAAGAAAGCAGGAGAGGGCTGATGCTGGAAATCTCAACCACTGAAAGCTCCGCAATGATAGCTGAAGGAGGAACAATCATGAGGAAAAATGGGGTTCCCAATATGGAGAAAAACCATGAGGAGGTCTGGTGTACCCACTGTAACAAGCCGCGTCACACAAGGGAGAAGTGCTGGAAATTACATGGAAGAACCCCAAGCCGAGAATGGGGGCAGAAAGGAGGCCCTCCAAAAAGGGGAGGACAAGGGCAAGCACACATTAGGCAAGGGCAAGCACACATTGCTAATGGTCAAAGGGAAGAATCTGGTCAGCTGAATCAAGAAGAAATAGAACGAGTAAGATCATTCCTTAGCAAACTCGAGAAGCCCACAGGTACATGCTCCTTAATATATTCTGGTAAGTTTCCACTTTCTTTTGGGCTTAATGTTTCAGATACACCCTTTACACATTACTGGATACTAGACTCTGGAGCCACTGACCATATGACCCATATACCCAAATATTTCTCCACATATTCTCCATGTCCTAGCAACAAGAAAATTTCCACAGCAGATGGAACTTTTATAACTGCAGCAGGACAAGGAGAGGTCCAAATAAGCCCATCCATAATACTAAAAAATGTCCTTCATGTCCCCAAACTGTCCACCAATCTGATTTCTATACAAAAACTCACAAAAGATCTCTCATGTAATGCTGTTTTTTATAACAACTCTTGTATATTGCAGGACAAGAAATCGGGGAGGATGATTGGACATGCTAGAGAATGGAATGGCCTATACTACATGGAGGATCCTAATCTGCCTACCAACAATCGATCTCTCGGTATCTGAATCCACCATGACTAATAAAGAGAAGGTCCAACTATACCATTGCCGGCTAGGACACCCTTCATTTAGAGTTGTAAAAATGCTCTTCCCTTCCTTGTTTAAAAATTTAAATGTGGAGAGTCTCAACTGTGAGGTGTGTGAGCTTGCAAAACACAAGCGTGTACCTTTTCCCATTAGCAATAAAATAAGTCCTTCCCCTGTTGTTCTTGTTCACACTGATGTATGGGGTCCGGCGTATGTTCCTAATATCTCAGGTGCTAAATGGTTTGTGACCTTCATAGATGATTGTACTCGGGTGACTTGGTTTTTTTTATTAAAACAAAAATCTGAAGTTAGTTCCGTGTTTTTTCAGTTTGTCTCAATGATTAAAAATCAATTTGGAGTTGGTATCAAAAGAATTAGGTCAGATAATGCTAAGGACTACTTTAACCTTATACTAAACTCTTTCTGTCAAAAGGAAGGGATAATCCATGAGTCCTCATGTGTGAACACACCCTAACAAAATGAGATTGCAGAAAGGAAAAATGGGCACCCATTAGATCAAACTCGGGCTCTACTTTTCCAAAACCATGTTCCTAAGAGATTTTGGGGGGAAGCCCTTCTTAGTACCACCTACCTAATCAATAGGTTACCCACAAAAATATTAGACTCAAAAAGTCCCATGGAAGTCCTATCCTCATTCTACCCACACTTGGATCCTACAAATAAACTCCAACCTAGAATATTTGGGTGTGTATCCTTTGTACATATTCATAGCAATGAAAGGGGAAAATTAGACCCTAGGGCTGTCAAATGTGTATTCTTAGGGTACTCCTCCACACAAAAGGGATACAAATGTTATCAACCCCTATCAAAAAAATTCTGTGTGTCAAGAGATGTCACCTTCAACGAACAAGAGAGCTACTTCAAGCAGCCTCATCTTCAGGGGGAGAATGTACGAGAGGAAGATGAGACTCTCGTGCTTCCAAATATGACATTTGGACCTGAAAGTGGGACAAATGGCATTGCTGTCCCTGAAAGACGGACATAACCAGCACCTGAATGCATTGCTGTCCCTGAAAGACGGACAAAACCAACACCTGAATGCATTGTTGTCCCTGAAAGACGGACAGAACCTAAATCAACAGCACCGGAATCAACAGCAGGACTTGAACCTGCACCTAATGGTGGAAAATTTGGGAAAAATCTGGTATATACAAGGAGAGAAAAGGCCATTCTAGAATCTGGCAATGTCCAAGAATCCAACCCATCATCTCTGCATGAGGTAATATCTTCAAATCCTATAAACTCCAATGATTCTAATGAGTTTGTTTATGAAAATCTAGAAGCACAGGTAGACCAAAATCTAGACCTACCCATTGCCCTCAGAAAGGGAACTAGAACATGCACCCAACAACCACTTTACCCACTATCAAATTTCTTATCCTTTGAAAAATTCTCACCTACCCATAGAACCTTTCTCACAAACCTCAACTCCACACACACACCTTCATCTGTATCTGAAGCATTATCTGACAGGAATTGGAAACAAGCCATGGATGTGGAAATGGAGGCATTAAACAAGAATAGGACTTGGGAACTTGTCACCCTACCAACTGGAAAGTAGGATGCAAGTGGGTATATGCAATAAAGTACAGGGCTGATGGGACCATTGAACGCTACAAGGCAAGATTAGTGGCGAAAGGTTTCACTCAAACCTATGGAGTAGAATACTTGGAGACATTTGCCCCGACTGCTAAGATGAACACGGTCAGAGTAATATTGTCATTAGCAGCAAATCATGATTGGGACCTGCAACAATTCGATGTGAAGAATGCTTTTTTACATGGAGACCTTGAAGAAGAAATATACATGGAGTTGCCCCCTGGTTACAGTGGACAGGTTGCTGCTGGAACTGTTTGCAAGTTAAGAAAGGCTCTATATGGGCTGAAACAATCCCCAAGAGCATGGTTTGGAAGATTCACCAAAGTTATGATAAATTTAGGCTACAAACAGAGCCAAGGGGATCACACATTATGTATCAAACATTCAGTTTCAGGGGGAGTAACGATTTTATTAGTGTATGTGGATGATATTATAGTAAGTGGGGATGATAAAAAGGAGCAACAAGACATTAGGGAGACTTAAATATTTTTTGGGAATTGAAGTGGCCCATTCCAAGAAGGGAATCTTCATATCTCAACAAAAATATATTACTGACTTGCTTAAAGAAACAGGTAAGACAACCTGCAAACCAGCAAGTATTCCAGTTGACCCGAATATAAAGTTGGGAAGTGCGGAGGAGGATATTGCTCTGGACAAGGAAATGTATCAAAGACTTGTAGGTAAGCTTATTTACCTATCTCACACAAGACCAGACATTGCTTTTGCTGTAAGTTTAGTTAGCCAGTTTATGCACCAACCAAAGGAAGCACATTTGCAAGCTGCTCTTAGAATTGTGCAGTATTTGAAAGGGACCCCTGGAAGAGGGATTTTGTTCAAACGAAACAAGAGTGTAAGTCTTGAAGGATATACGGATGCAGACTATGCGGGGTCAGTGGTAGATAGAAGATCAACTACTGGATACTGCACCTTCCTTGGTGGAAACCTAGTGACTTGGAAGAGCAAAAAACAGAGTGTGGTAGCTAGATCGAGTGCGGAAGCAGAATTTCGAGCAATGACCCATGGAATATGTGAACTTCTATGGCTGAAGATTATATTGGAAGACTTGAAGATAAAGTGGGATGAACCTATGAGGTTATATTGTGACAACAAATCTGCAATTAGTATAGCCCACAACCCGGTGCAGCATGATAGAACTAAACACATCGAGGTTGACAAACACTTTATCAAGGAAAAACTAGACAGTGGTATGATTTGCACACCATATGTATCCACTCATAACCAACTTGCAGACATACTCACCAAGGGGCTGAGCTGCATTAACTTTGAAAGGATTATATCCAAGCTGGGAATGGAAAACACCTATTCACCAGCTTGAGGGGGAGTGTCAAAACCCACGATTCTCTCTGTGTATTTTAGGATGTTTTATATTTGCTATAACAATTGTATCTTGCTATTATTAGGTCTAGGTATTTATGATCAATCCCATAATTACAGGGATTTGTTCCTTTAAGAATTAGTTGTCCATATTTCCTAAAATAGGCTGCAGGCTCATGTATATATACAGGTCTAATGATCTAATAATATAATAAGAAATATATTATTCCTTTTAAATCTGAGAGATATGATATTATCAATTGAGGTAAGTGTGGTCTGCTGAGAGTCTACATTTGATGAGATGCAACATGAAAAAGTGTTTATAAATGTGGTATCAAATCCATATATTTATTATCAGGATTAGTACAATAGATTAGGATTTTAGTGGACAAATAATATCAATAAGCATTTATTTGATATGATATTATCAATTGAGGTAAGTGTGCTCTGCTCAGAGTCTACATTTGATGAGATGCAACATGAAAAAGTGTTTATAAATGTGGTATCAAATCCATATATTTATTATCAGGATTAGTACAATAGATTAGGATTTTAGTGGACAAATAATATCAATAAGCATTTATTTGATATGATATTATCAATTGAGGTAAGTGTGGTCTGATTTAGACACAAAAATTACAAACTCAACACGGTTTTAAAGCCTATCCAAAACACGTAGGACCACATATTATCTGGGTAGTCAGGTCATGCTTTAGATGTCTAGCTTTTTGGCATGAGGGAGGTGTGTTGAGAGTCTCACTATGACCTGAAAACATGTTTATAAGTGAGAGATGCATCCCTAACCTTTCAAGCCAGTTTTGGTACAACAACTTTAACTGTTGAGAGAGTAAGTCTGAATTCAAATATTTTGACCACCATCTCACTATTCTGGGACAACTGAACTGTTACCATCCTCAAGACTGTCTCGTTTGAATGTAGTTTGGAATTTTATCCTGTGCCATCCAGTATTATCAGTATACATCCTCTGCCCTTTTAAATTCTTTTTTTTTTTTTTGAATCAATGAAAGAATATATTAACTCAAAAAACAATTCAAGTACAAAGGTGATCAAAAGATCCAACCTACCCACAAGACTAAGCAAAACCAAAAATTATAACATCATTTTAGCTAAGTGAGCTCTAATCCGCTTGGAGCCCCGACCTCTATATATAATACTTTCTATAATTCTATCTTCAATTCTATACTGAATATCATTTCCAAAAACTGTATCATTCCTAAACTGCCAAATATCATAGCAAGTTTCAGAAATAGCCAACTTCATAAGGCTAGGTCTAAATTCATTAATAAGGTCTTGTAGAGATTTTTTATTTATTTATGACACATTAATTAGCATAATACATATAAGTTATATTGTCTTTGCAGAGTGTTTTCTCAACCATAATTGAATTTTTAATATTTTGACTTATAGATCCATTCTCTTTTCCTATGCAGAGAGACTAAATCTTAGAGCAGCCCATGAATATAAATATTTAAATCAAAGTGACTGCATCACTATTGGTGGTATTGACGATGCTAAAAACTTTCATCAGCTGATGGTATAATACTTGACAGTGTGTTTGGTTTATAATTAATTCTCTTACTTTATTTCTGGCCTCTTAAAATTCATCTAATTTTCTCCTTTTGCGTCATAATTTCCCCAGGAAGCATTTGATGCTGTTCGAATTTGTAAAGAGGACCAAGAGTTGATCTTTAAAGTGCTTGCTGCAATATTATGGCTGGGAAATATATCATTCAAAGTCACTGACAGTGAAAATCACATAGAGGTTGTGGGTGATGAAGGTCAGATTCATAGTATGTGACATGTCTTTTGGTGGTCTATCTTTACCTCATGCTGTGTATGGCAATTTGGTGTTATTAAATTCTTAAAGTATACTGGGGCTAGGATTATTTGCAATGCCATATACTATATGGACAACAAAAAGTATCTTATTTTGTAATGTGTTGGAAATGATTTTGAAGAATACATGTTTTTTTTGCAGCTGTAACCAGTGCTGCCCTGCTGATGGGTTGCACTTCCCAGGACTTAATGGCAGCATTATCTACCCATAAAATCCAATCTGACAAAGATACTGTTGCCAAAAGTTTGACATTATTGCAGGTCTTCTTATTATTCAAACATTTCAATCTTGTATTTTCTATGGTTATAAATGGTCTTTATTCAATATGTGTATATGTGTGCTGTTTATTTGTTTATCTATCCTTTTCACATTCTATGCTCAGGCCATTGAAACAAGAGATGCAATTGCCAAATTTATTTATTCCAGCTTGTTTGAATGGATTGTACAACAACTTAACAGGTCACTTGAAGTGAATGAAAAACATACAGAGAAATCCATTAGTATCCTTGATTTTTATGGGTTTCAGTCATTCCAGGTAGGCGATTTGTATTGATATATTCATGCTTCAAAGAATGTGGTATATGTTTTAACAGTTTCTTGTTTCTCTTTTTCAGAAGAACAACTTTGAACAGTTTTGTATAAATTATGCCAATGAAAGGCTTCAACAACATTTTAATCGGCATCTGTTTAAACTTGAGCAGGAGGTCAGGAACTATCTTAGGTGTCAATATTACTTGATATTTTGATGCTGAACACCTTATTAAATAAGTATTGAACAATATAATGTGAAATAACTGTGAATTTTGTTGTGCGAATTACTGTCCTAAGAATGCTTAGTGTGAACTCCTAGAAAAATGATTCCTTGCATTTAAAGTTTAGTACTTCCGTATTCTTCGCAAAATGGGAGATTTGATCAGACTTCTAAAATTGTTGCCAAATACTAACAAAAAACAGTGCAGTGGGTGTAATACCATAGATGCTCATGTCTGTAGTTAAAATACATTTGACGGGGATTAAATTATGGTATTCTATTCTAGAAAATAGTTTAATCAAGGATATCTTATCAGAGTCTATTGTTTGGCAATATTATTTTAGATTTCTGCGGAAATGTGAAGACAATATTCACTTGATTGATTCTAAATGGTACAGAGGAGGAAATAGAAAAAAAATACAGACCCTGTAATCAATTCTATGGCCTAAGGATCAGGAGGAAAATTGATCCTCATTATAACTAAATACTAATAAGGAAACAACTTATACATTTTTCTGTAAACGTACAAAGTAACTAAATACAAATTAAAATCACATTAATTCTGATTAATTCGCATAATTATATACACTCTCTTAATCTGGGTGATAGATATCTATCAATACCAAGATTGATTCTAAGATATTCATACAAGTGCCTTGGAAGAGTTTTGGTCAAAGTATCTTTTGTTTGATGACATGACGGTACATAGTGGTCAAAATGTCTTCTGTTTGATGACATGATGGTACGCGGTGAACCATAATGTTGCCATGATCAGTCTTCTCTTTAATGAAGTGTCTGTCAATTTCCACATGCTTTGTTTTATCATGTTGGACTGGGTTCTAGGCCATACTAATAGCAACCTTATTGTCACAATTTTCACCCCACCATTGTAAGAAATTTTTAGTTCTTCAAACATCCTCTTTTGCCACACTCCTTCACAGATTCCTGCTGCCATGGCTCTTAAGTTGTGATTGGTTTAAGAGAAATAGAAAAGAGAGTAAAGTGAGAGAGAAATTTGGAAGAGAGAGATCTAATTTTTCTTGATTGGTTTAGAAGAGAAAGTGAGAAGAGTGGGACCCACCACATTTTTCAATCTCTTCAAAATAGAGAAGAAAGAAATGATAAATGCTATTTGGACACTAACTTTTGATGCCTCTATTTTTTCCAAATTTAATGTTATTTTTAAGAACATTTTTGTATTTTTAAAAATCATCAACATTCCTCTCTTTTCTATTTCTCTTGACTCTTGTAATTCTTTTATACCAAACAATACCTCAAGTCTTGTTTATTTCTCACATCTTTCTCTCTTCTTCCAATCTCTCTTACCTATTTCTCTCTTCTCACTTTCTCTTTACAACCAATCACACCCTTAGTTTTGCTTCTATGCTACTTCTAGCTACCACAGACTGCATCTTGCTTCTCCATGTAACCATGTCTCCCCATACAAATGAACAATAGCCAGATGTGGGTTTTCTGTCTAAAGCACATCCTGCCCAATTTGAATCCGTATAGACTTCAGTTCCTTTATCTGTATTTTTCTTGAAATACAAACCCTTTCTTGGAGTGCCATTAAAATAGTTAAGACATTGTAGGATCCTTCTTACTTCTGCCATATTTTTCTGTGAGATTTGACATATGGCGACTTGCCATACTTACAGGAAATCCAATATCTAGCATGTTGTGTGCTAAATAGATTAATTTTCCCACATGTCTCAGTTGGAATGGTTTCTTCTTCAAATTTGAGATTTTTCTGTAACTGTACAAAGTAAATAAATACAAATCAGAATCATATTAATTTTGATCAATTTCCATAATTATCTACAATTTGTAAATTGACTATTTCTCATCCGAGTGAAAAATGAATCCAGTGAGAGGAGGTATACGGTTAAAGTTCTTGACATGCAATTTACTTTTTGTCAGGACTGTGAATCAGATGGCATTGATTGTACAGTATTAGATTTTGGGGACAATCAAAAGTGCTTGGATCTATTTGAGAAGGTACTTATTTGGTTTAGTTTTCAAAATTATTTCTGTTTATTCCATTTTATCTGGAAATTGAGCTTCTATTATATGATAGAAATTGGTACCAATATAATAAATAACTGAATAACAACTGTTTATTATTGTATATTCCCTGGGGAAAGGTTCCCAAATCAGAGATAGAGCACACAATCACACACTTGTACTGAAAACTTACACAGATAAATGCAGAAGACGCGTTCCTACCAAGTTTCAAGAGCTTGGTTCCCTCCTCCTCAGTTAACCACTTAGTGGAAATATGTTTAGTTACACTTTTAAAATTTTAACAAATGAGCCAATAATTAAAGATTAAAGAATATCTTTTCCACTGTTTTCTTTGTTAAAAATGTGAAACAAGAGTTAGAGAACTAATTTAATATTATAATGGACATACAATAATTTCTGTAAATAAAATTCATTAGTAAAAATATTTAATAGATTATTTTAATAAAAAGTTATATTCGAACTATATTACATAATATTTTATGTATTGACAATCAAAATTAGTTTTTTTTTTTACTAAAATAGTACAAATTAGCTAAACAACACATATATCCCATATTTTCATTTCATGGAAATAGACAATAAGAAGTAGAAACAAACATATTTTCTAAAACTTGGAAATTTGAATATTAAAATCATTTTTAAAAAAGGACATTAAAAAAATGAAAATAGTAAACATTTTCATAAACCAAACAGGTCTTTATTTGGATTATAAAAAATTGTGTTCGGGTCCATTGTTGGCTGCTTCACATTATTCTGTCATTACTGTAGTCATTATGTTATCTGTTAAAAATGTGCAGAAACCTCTCAGTCTACTCTCTTTATTGGATGATGAATCAAATTTTGCCGAGGCTTCTGATTTAACATTTGTCAACAGACTTAAGAACCTCCTGGAAGCTAATAATTGCTTCAAAGGGGAAAGAGGCAGGGCATTTAGTGTACGTCACTATGCAGGGGAGGTTAGTTTCTGCCCGGTACCTATGGAGTTCTAGAACTTAGTTGTTGCAAATCTAATTGTGAATTTGAGATTTTAATCATTAATTGAAAGACCGGTTTCCAAATCATGAATTGAATCTTAATTGTAAGATGCATGATGAAGAAAGACATTTTTTAGTATAAACAAGAGACATGTGCAAAATAATAAACTTAAACGTTATACACAAACCTCAAAACAATTTGAGTCATAAATGAAAGTAACAAAACAAGAAGTGACTGGCTACATAAAAATGAAAAGAAGAAGTGTCTTGCTACAGAAATTTCAGGAGCGAATTTTAATTCATCAATATGATCAGGATTCATCTCCAAAATTAATTACACACAGTTTCATATATATTGAGTTCAATTTTATTTTGAATCGAGATACGACTCACATGAATATGGTCACAAAAATCCACTTAATAACTTTTTTTATTTAATTTATTAATACTTAAAGTTAAATTGTTCAAATTTTGCCTTCTTTTCCACAATATTGCATATAGTGGAAAAGAAAAGAGTGTCTAAACAATACATGCATGGCAATGTAGATGACTTATGTAAATTCCTGTTCTAAGATAGGTTATAGTTATTTCTTTATTGTGTATATTATCAGCAATGTGCTCTTGTCTAGCATGTGATTTGCAAAAGGTGCGAGTTCTGAATATGATCTATAAGTTGTTGTTGAACTTGATGTCTTGCTCCCTTCCTAGTTTCTACAACATACATAAGACGAGTTTTTGTTCAGTTTATTTCGTTACCTGCAAATAAAAATGTAATTTAGTTAAGCGTGCAAGCATCTGGCAAGTGTTTTATGGCTGGAATTCTTATAGTAATGTAGCAATGAGCAAACATTGTTTTGTTAATTTTGTCTCTGAGCCATTGGTTACTCAGTGTGTCCATGAAATTTTTATTTTAAGTTTGTGATTTTACTAATATATGGGCTTCTATCAGGTTTTGTATGATACAAATGGCTTTCTAGTAAAGAACAGAGATTCATTGTCTTATAATTCTATTCAACTCCTTTCATCATGTAATTGTGAACTGCTGAAGTTGTTCTCCAAAGGGATTAACCAACCCGAGGAGCACGGAAACTCCACTTTCCATATTGGTGCACTATACTCACAAAAGAGAGGTGTTGGAACAAAGTTCAAGGTGATCCTTTAGCATTTCTTAAGCCGCTTTAGCTTAATAAGGCTTTGGAAAAAAATTATTATTTTGGTTTTTCACAGAAGATTAGGACATGATGATGGGCAAAAAGGCCATCCTAAACATTACATATACAAAGGAATTATCCAAGTAACACAAATCTAACAAGTTCCTTACTTTTAGGATCAATTGTTCAAGTTGATGCATCAATTGGAGAGCACCACTCCTCACTTTATTCGCTGCATAAAGCCAAATACTAACAACCTTCCTGGAATTTATGACAAGGAACTTGTCCTACAACAGCTCAGATGTTGTAGAGTTCTAGAAGCTGTTAAAATTTCAAAGGCTGGATTTCCTACTCGAGTGAACCATCAAGAATTTTCCAGAAGGTAGTTGGAATTTCAGAACTTTCCCAGGGATTCTAGATTATCTTGAATGGTGAGTTGATTCAGTTCCTTTATGTATCTAGGTACGAGTTTCTGCTTTCTGAGACTGATATACCTCGGGATCCGTTGAGCGTCTCAGTTGCAGTTTTGCAAAAATTTAATATCCCTTCTGAAATGTACCAAGTTGGCTACACAAAACTATATCTTCGAGCAGGGCAGGTATATGTCTACGTTTTCTTCGTAGGGATGTATTTTACTGTATTTTCATTTTGTTTTCTCCCCTGCATCATGTAAGTCAAATTAAAAATCTGTACTTCAACACTGGAGGTGCCACCCTTTTTTCAATATTTTGTTTATGAACCATTAATTTTTGCTTATGGTTTAATCTGTGATTTCTTGTTTGATTTGATTTTATGGTTTTGCATATTGTGTTTATTTTTACATGGTCAATCTTGTGTTCTATTTGTTTTGTAGATTGGTGCGCTGGAGGATAAGAGAAAACAGTTTTTGCGGGGAGTACTTGGGATTCAAAAATGCTTCCGTGCTCATCAAGCCCGCAGTTATTTCTGTAAACTTAGGAATGGAGTGACAACATTACAATCATGTACTGCCAGTAGCAATATTAGTTTAAATTGAATAATTTTCTTCATTGAAATGAAAATTCCTCAAGTAATTATCATCATAAAAGCATAGATGATATTGGTTGAAATAGAAACACCTCTACAGTTTGGCCTGTAGTTGTATAATAAATTTGAGGACCTTATAGGTACTCATGCTTTAAGAAAATTAAATGCCTAAACTGTAGACTCAAATCATAAAATTCTTGTCACAAATGATTATTCATAACCTTGGTTCTAGTTTATTTCTAAATTTCTAATTGCTACTTTGTCACATTACAGTTACACGTGGAGACATTGCAAGAAGGAAACATGGTGTTTTGATGAAATCTTCCATAACAATTTATTCTAAAAAACTTGAGGAGATTCATGCAATCATAGTACTTCAATCTGGTTAGCACGGTTTCTTCCTGCCATGCTTATCACCTTCCAAATAGGTGTTGAATCTGATTTGGTTATTCTGTTTCCTTTTCATGCAGTGATTCGTGGGTGGTTGGTTCGGAGGGATTCTAGTTACATCAATAAATTGAAGAAATATCATGAAAATGAAAAACCTAGACGGAACTTTTGTGTTAAGATGCCAGAAGTTGAGGTATTTTGCCATTCACTTTGTACTGCTATATGTGTTTCTGAGGGAATTTCATCATTCTTTTCCCCTTCTTAAAGTGGGGTATATATAGGAGACTCCTTGGGCCTGGATCAGAAACCAAGAGGAGCGGTTTCCCCTTCTTTTGGTCAAAGATGCGGGAGTGGGAAGACTGGGTTCTTCCTGCGATTGTGGAAGAGGCAGTTCTTCCCCTCTTCTTGATTGATTCTGCGCGTGCCATGTTCCCCACCAGTTGAATCAGGAGGAAACATGGTTTGGTTAGGACGTCCAGATCCAGGCCCAATAGTGCGACTTATCATGCCTTGATGTGAGTGACTCCACTTGTATCCTTTTGGGCTATTCCTTCCTTGGCCCAGTAAAATTATCCCAATCCACACTTGAATATAGTCTTATTTCTGTGTTTTAATTTAGACAACTCCATCTACTTGGCTATTTTTCTGTCGTTGTACATACAATAAAATCTAGTTTTCCTATTCTTTTTTCTGACAAACTTGTGACTAATTAGAGTTTCAAATAAAAACTCATGTAGTTTTCACAGTTCTCTTCTTACCCACCATTCAATACTATTATCACACAAATGTCTGATGTGCTAAAAAGTCACTTATATCAAGTGCCAGTTATCGCATAAGTAGTATAAAAAATTATCGAATCCACAGATTAATTAGCAAGTACCAAACTAGTAAAGATATTTAAACGAACGAGCAGTTGAATTGTTTGTAATAACAAAGTAGCAAACAATTAAGAATAAGAATAAAACTCAAAAGCCTTTGATAAAATCAGTGTAGTATCTAACAGGAATATGCATGGAAATGGTGCAAATAAACTGATAGAAAGTACTGATTGTATTAAGAAAGGGGCTAGAGTTCAAATGGGATCTAGCAGAATCAGTACAATAAAAGGCAGTAGCAGCAAAAATAGAAGGAAACTAGTAGAGGCACTTTGAGAGGCCTTATCTCTCCTAGGAATCAGATCCACTCAAGTATTATCGTACCTCACAAATGATTGGGACTCAATCATTTATGGAATTATTCCTAGATCCTATTACCACTCAGCTGCTGCCAGCTGTCCCCTCCCATGTGCTTCTGCTAACAAAATTTGTCCTATTCTCTCTCTTTCTCTTTCCTACGTTTCCTCACATAATGCCTCCCATATCTACCAATTCCCCTCCCTTCAAAAACTTCCTTGACCTCAAGGAAGAAAACTGGAAATTCTTCTTTTAACTTTTCAGCTAACTCCCACGAATTCTCGAATTCTGGAAGATCTTTCCATTTCACTAAAATCTCCCACTCTCCTTGATCATTCCTCCTCTAATCCATTACTTTTTCAGGCACAGGTTCCAAATACCAATCCTCATTCATACAGTCTGGTAAGGGTTGGATTTCTGCAGAGGCACTGATAGCTTTTTCCAGTAAGGAAACATGGAATACCGGGTGTACTTTAGCATCAGCAGGCAACTTAAGCTTGTAAGCTACCTCTCCCACCCTTTTAATTACCTCATACGGTCCATAAAATCTAGGACTCAGCTTCTGGTTTAGCCTTTTAGCTAAACTCTTCATTTTGTAAGGCTGAATTTTTAAGAAAACCTTATCTCCCACTTCATAAACCACCTCCCTCCTATGCTTGTTTGCTTGATTTCTCATCATATCTTGTGCCTTGAGTAATTGCTCTTGCAGTTCCTTGATCATCAAGTTTCTCTCCATTGTCAATTTACTGATTTCATCAACTGCAGATCCAGGGGTATCCCCTCTAATTAACACTGGAGGAGCCCTTCCATATAGTGCCTCAAATGGAGTGGTCTTTAGTGAGGCATGGTAGTTGGTGTTGTACCAATATTCTGCCCATGCTAACCACTTTGGCCATTGCTTAGGTTTGAGCCCTGTAACACACCTCAGATATGTCTCTAAGCACCTGTTGACTACCTCTGTTTGGCCATCAGATTGAGGGTGGTATGCACTGCTATATTTCAACTTAGTCCCAGCCAACTTAAATAGCTCCATCCAGAAATGGCTAAGAAACACTTTGTCTCTGTCAGACACTATGGAGCTAGGGAATCCATGCAGTCTAACCACTTCTTGAAGGAAAACTTCAGCAACACTCTTGGCCGTATAAGGATGGCTAATTGGAAGGAAATGAGCATACTTAGAAAGTCTATCCACCACTACCATAACAGTGTCTCTCCCTGTACCTTAGGTAAACCCCCTATAAAATCCATTGAAATATCACTCCATACTTGTGTGGGAATAGGCAAGGGCTGTAGCAATCCTCCAGGTGTCAAGGTTTGATACTTATTCCGTTGACACACTTCACAAGCTTGCACATACTCTTGAATCCTCTTTCTCATACCCTCCCAATATACCACACTACTAATCCTCTTGTACGTCCTGAGATACCCAGAATGCCCTCCTACTGCTGTATCGTGGAATTCATTCAGAATCCAACTAATTCTAGGGGATCCCTTAGGCACCACTATTCTTCCTTCATAATACAACCTTCCCCCCTTAAGTTGAAACCCCTTCTGACTGAGAGGATCTGCTAAAACAGCCTGCACTATCCCCTTCAGCTTCTCATCCTGTTGTACCTCCTCTTCTAATCCATTCCAAGCTTCACTTTGGACAGTAGTTATGTGAGAATACTGCATCTTTCTGGAAAGGGAATCTGCTGCACTATTTTCCCTTCCAGGCTTATACTTCACCTCAAAATCATAACCTATCAGTTTAGATAACCACTTCTGCTGTTCTTCCCCCATCACCCTCTGCTCTGTTATAAATTTTAAGCTTTTCTGGTCAGTATGCACCTTGAAATGCTTGCCTAATAAATAGGGTCTCCATTTTTGAATAGCTATGACCATAGCCATGAGTTCTCTTTCATAAACTGACTTTTGTTGGGCTTTAACTGTTAAAGTTTGGCTCATGTATGACACATGTCTGCCCTCCTGCATTAACACTGCTCCAATGCCTTTACCTGAAGCATCAGTCTCCACTACAAACTCTTTTTCAAAATCCGGCATAATCAAAACTGGAAGAGTGGTCATTGCTATCTTTAGTTCATCAAAAGCCACTTGTGCCTCTGTACTCCAGAGGAAACTGTCTTTCTTCAGCAGCTGAGTAAGGGGCCACGCTATTTTTCCATAATTCCTCACAAATTTCCTGTAGTAGCCAGTTAGACCTAAGAATCCTCTTAATCCTTTTATATTTTTTGGAACTAGCCATTTGATCATATCTTCTATCTTTCTGGGATCTGCTGCTACTCCTTGGGCAGATATTAAATGCCCAAGATACTCCACCTCTTCTTGACCAAAAGAACATTTCTTTTTGTTAGCAAATAGCTGGTTATCCTTCGAGACTTGCAATATGACAGTTAAATGCTCTCTGTGTGCTTCTCTACTCCTACTATATATGAGAATATCATAAAAAAAAACCAAGCAAAATTTTCTTAGAAATGGCCTGAGAACTTCATTCATGAGGGCTTGGAAGGTAGAGGGAGCATTTGTCAAGCCAAAAGGCATGACAAGATATTCATAGTGCCCCTCATGTGTTCTGAAAGCTGTTTTGGCTATGTCTTCATCCTTCATCCTAATCTGGTGATAACCAGATTTTAAATCCAGTTTGGAAAAAATGACTGCTCCTCCCAATTCATCTAGTAACTCCTCAATGATGGGAATGGGAAATTTATTAGGTATGGTCACCTTGTTCAGAGCCCTATAATCTGTGCAGAATCTCCACCCTCCATCTTTTTTCTTTACTAACAGCACCGGGCTTGAAAAGGGGCTGGTACTGTGTCTTATGATATCAGCCTGGAGCATTTCTCCTACAATTTTCTCTATTTCATTTTTTTGATAAAAAGGATACCTATAAGGTCTCAAGTTTGGAATGGCAGCATTAGGTTTCAGCAAAATAGCATGGTCATGTTCTCTCCTGGGTGGCAGACCTTTGGGTAAATGAAACACTTCCTCAAATTTCCCCAAAGTCTCATCCCACTCTATTAACTCAGCCTTCTTTTCTGCTGCAACAGTTTTCACAGTCTGCACATAGAATCCCATCCCCTCATCCTTCAAAGCTCGCATCACTGCTTTCATAGAAACTTGTTGATTGCTTAATGTAGGATCTCCTTGAATACTATACTTCTGTCCACCCCACTCCCACATCAGGCATAAATTTCCAAAGTTAGCCTCTATATTTCCCAAACTAGCTAACCAGTCCATACCTAGCACCATATCAGTCCCTCCTAACTCCATCAAGAAGAAATTTTGGCTGAATTTCACTCCTTGCAACCAGAAATACAACTTTTCACACACCCCCTGGAATTTCACCTTCTCTCCATTCCCCACCTCAATTACATATGGTGGTGTTTCCACCAACTATAATCCCAACATTTCCACTAACTTAGCATCAATGAAATTGCTAGTTGCCCCAGAATCAATCAGGGTCAACAGTTCTCTTTCCTTGACTGTAGTCCAGACCTTGAAGGATTTATTAGAAGTTAATCCTTCTTGACTCCGCAGGGAGAGTTGCAAAGTCTTGCATTCCTCCACTCCTCCCACCAAGTCTTCTGTTTGCACCCCTTTTCCTCCTGTTACCTCTTCCTCCTCACTGCTTTCCTCACATAATTTAAAGCTCATATGCTTGAATTTGCATATGTGCTCCCTATTCCATTTATCCCCACATTTGAAACACAATCCTTTCTTACTCCTTTCTTCTAATTCTGCAGGATTCAATCTCCTCCCTCTGAACTTCTCATTACCTCCTCCATTACCTTTCTCTCCCTCCCTCCTAGATCCTCCAACCTCTGCAGGATCCCTGATCTTAAAAGATCCTCCTCTATCTCTCCATGAACTACCCTTCTTGTGGACCACCTCATTTTTTTCTTCAATCAACAGGGCCCTATCCATCAAATCTGCTAAACTTTGACTCTCATGGAGTTTTAGTTCAGCTTGAATTTCCTCTTTCAGTCCATTCATGAAATGGAGTCCAACATAATCCTTTCTTCCCTTCTCAAAGGAGCTACAAGCATTTCAAATTTCTCCATATACTCCACCACCGATCCTTTTTGTCTTAAGCTCAACAAAGGCCCCATCGGGTTATGCAGCAGACCCGGTTGAAACCTCCTCATCACAGCTACCTTGAACTCCTCCCATGTCCTCAGTGGGGCTTGCTCCTCCCACCACTGGTACCAATTCAGAGCCTTGTCCTCCATAGCCAACACTACCGCGTCTAGTTTATCGCGCACCCTTACACCACTCAAACGGAAGTATCTTTCGACCCGCACCAGCCACCCATACGCGTCCTCTCCCTTGAAAATGGGAATCTCCAGCTTCCTTCTGCTTCCCATGGTTCGCCCCCCTTCGCCACCCCCGTAACGGCGATTTCTGGGTCGAGATTCGTGCGAACGGTTACTCCTTATGCTCCCCTCATCTTCATCGTCGTCGGATCCTCTGTGGTGACTCGGACGCTCCTGAATGAGCTGGCGAATCTGCTCCACTGTCACCTGAGGTCTAGACTGTTGCTTCGTTACGATCTGTCGTATCTGTTCTATCGTCCCTTCAAACTGATTCATCCTCTGTTCTATCATTTCCACGCGATTCTCCATGATACCACGCGTAACAACCATTCACAGAGTAAGCGAAACCAAGGCTCTGGATACCAAATTGATAAAATCAGTGCAGTATCTAACAGGAATATGCATGGAAATGGTGCAAATAAACTGATAGAAAGTACTGATTGTATTAAGAAAGGGGCTAGAGTTCAAATGGGATCTAGCAGAATCAGTACAATAAAAGGCAGTAGCAGCAAAAATAGAAGGAAACTAGTAGAGGCACTTTGAGAGGCCTTATCTCTCCTAGGAATCAGATCCACTCAAGTATTATCGTACCTCACAAATGATTGGGACTCAATCATTTATGGAATTATTCCTAGATCCTATTACCACTCAGCTGATGCCAGCTGTCCCCTCCCATGTGCTTCTGCTAACAGAATTTGTCCTATTCTCTCTCTTTCTCTTTCCTACGTTTCCTCACATAATGCCTCCCATATCTACCAGCCTTAAACTAATGAGTAAGAATAAAGCACAAAGCTGTAATCCAATGGAGAGAAGTCCTGGAGTATGGTTTCATTTGTAATTTTGAATACTCCCAATTCTAGTATATTTGAGTTCTTAATTATTTCCCAATTATTAATCCTTCAACTTAAATCTATTAAAAATGTTTGGAAATGCATTGGACAAACTTCTTTCCGTATTTAATTCCTTATTTGGTAATTCAAGGAATATGAATTAAGCTTATGCAGCATAAAAATCAAACTCTGTTGCAGCCGGATTTTACTAGTCGGCTGCCAGATATCCAAAATATTCCCTTTTGTCTTCATTTTTGTGGTAATTATATTAGGCAAGCCTCCTAGTGGAAATGGCACCAAGCACTGATTTACGTTGTATTCCAATTTTTTTTCTTCCATTCAGCATATTGTAACTTCATCAGCATATGCATTTACTTAATACACATCTTTCTTATTTACTATTTGAAATATTGCTTCCGTGGATATAATATTTTTTCGCTATGATATTGTTAAAATTCTCATCCACTGATGATGAAGGCCCTTTCTTTTCTTCTTGTTGGTTTAGCAGGATTTGTCCCAAGAGCTGCTTCAGAACATGCCTTCAGCTTTAGCAGAACTACAAACTCGCGTGTACAAGGCAGAAGAAATTGTGGAGCAAAAGGAAGAAGAAAATACTGAATTGAGGGAACAACTAAAATGTTCTGAGAGAAAGAGGGTTGAATATGAGACAAAGATGAAGTCAATGGAGGAGATGTGGCAAAAGCAAATGGCATCCTTGCAAGTAAGTTTTCAGTTTAGGCTAGGCCTCATTTTTTGATATATTCATGGATGTTACTAAAATGGATGCATTAACAATCTCGTCATATCTCCTCCACTTAATCACTGTTAACTGGTTAGTTAACTAGGATAGATGTCACTAACTGTTTGTTAGTTTTTTTATAGTCAGTTGCAGCCGTAGATATGGCTACAATTTTTATATAAGCCTATGCTCTGTGGTCTGTACTGTAATACTAAGAAATCATGATAAGGAAATTGTATCTCTTAATTTTCTCTTTCTTTGGGTTCCTTACAACTCTAAAATTGTATCAAGAGCTATCTAGTCCTTACCCATGGCTTTCTCATATCAAATTCCTCCTTCACCTCCTTCACCGCCACCAGCCACGGTGGCACAACCTTCTTCTCTACATACCGTGCCATTAAACTCATTTGCTCCGATGACTTCTGCATATCAAATATTTCTTACTATGACTCTGATAGAAACCAGAATTTTAGGTAAACAACTGTATATTATTGAATGTAAAAGAGGAGCTCAATAGCTCTACAATGGTGAAAATGGGAAAAGAAAATGTAAACCAGAGTTCTATGAACTCCTAACCAAAGCTGGAAGCTCCTAATCCAGAGACTCTCCTAACTGTTTTCTAGAAAACTTTCTCAATGAATTCTCTAATCCCTTTACCTCTCTTTTATAACAGAATATCCCTAAAATTAAGGAAAGATCCTAACTAACTCTTATTAGACTCCCTGACTCAGGCTCCTACCAGACTCTATTCTCGCATTCAATTTCAGAGAAGTTTGATGAGAGAAATTTCTTGCTCTAGCATGAGCAAGTAGAACTAATCATCAAATCACGGCATTTATTCCATTTCATTGTGTGCTCCACTAAAATTTCTCACAGAGCAAGATTGCTACATTGGTACAGTCAGCATTGCTTGTTTTGATTGGGTGCAACAAGCCTAGAAGCTGCTATCTTGGCTCCAATCAACCATATTCAATGCAAACTCAAGTCCCATATTGAAATGAGATAAGGTCTGAAAAGAGTATATGAAGGACATCCTAAAATAACAAGCAATCTAAGAGGTAGGAAAAAAAATCCAAAATCTAAGAGGGTATTTAAGCCCACATACTAAATTTATCATGCAGTAAGCCTAATAGTGTTGGGTTGAACTTTGATAACCTATCAATTTTCTTAAATAATCCAGATTTTTCATCGCATGTTAGTTTGATATTGGGTTGAACTTTGAATTTGTCATTTCTATTTTTATGAAGTAAGAATTATGGCTGATAAATTACTTCTCTGTAGATTTTTTCTATCACGAGTTTATTTCACGTTGAACTTTTATAGCTGTTTCTAATTACAATTTCACTGCAGTCGAGTCTTGTTGCTGCTAGAAAGAGCCTTGCTTCAGAGAATGGCACTGTTCAACCTGTAAGACATGATCTTGTGTCACCTCGCTACTATGATTCTGAAGATGCTTCTTCTATGGGATCTCGAACAACTAGTGGGAGCACACCTATGATGCTTTCTGGTAGTTTTTCCGTCCCTGATGCGGGGAAGCAAGCTAATGGTACTTTGACAACTGTAAGCAATCTGATGAAGGAATTTGAGCAGCGAAGACAAACCTTCAATGATGAAGTTAAAGCTTTGAATGAGATTAAACCAGGGCAGTCTGCCAACACGAGTTCCGCTGATGAACTTCGAAAACTGAAACAAAGATTTGAGGGATGGAAGAAACAATATAAGGTTAGATTACGGGAGACAAAAGCAAGGCTCTCTGAATCCGAAAAAAGTCGACGAACATGGTGGGGGAAATTAAGCTCAAGAGCATAATAGCACCCAGTTTTCAAGCAGTCTTTTTGCTGAAGTACATAAATGTTGAAGACTCGGCAACAATGGCAAAATGATTCTTGTCATGAACTGTCTTTTTGAGAAGTTTCTTCCTTTATATCTCACTATGTTGCTTGAACACTTGATAAAAGTGGGAGAATGAAATGACATTGTGTATCTATCAATTTTGTTATATGGTGGAAGTGTTATAGGTTGTGCATTGTTGTAGATCTGTAGCATAGTTGTATTAATTGATCTAGTTTAGTCCATAATCAATAATGGCTCGCAAATAGTGTCTGACCTCAAAGATTTTAATACTCGAGTGTCTACAAACAGTTCTCTCTTGTCAATGATCCAAAAGATTCTCCAGTGGTTCCTTTTCAGCAACAATGGCTAGGTTATAGAAGCCAGGCACGGGGAAGCCAACCTTCCATTTTTGATCTCCTTAAAATTGAACTTGGCAAAAGTGAAAGCAAGAGCAGGAGGGTCAAATTAGTTACCCGCAGGGTTTGGCTTTTATGTTACACTCTCCCACTCCAAGAAGGCGTGTGAAATACTTCAACAAAACCCAGCAGAACAACATGAAAGCCAAACGCTGATGCTTCGTGCATGAATAAGGTTTGAGCCAAACTGCATGTTTGAATTCACTGTGCGCCCTAACTAATGTTCACGCACTTCATGGTGATGGAACCTTGTGGCCCAAGTGTTTACCGTGAAAAATGGTAAACAACCGTTGATCCTCCAAAAGGTTACTTATTTGGTGACTCGCAGGATCGATCAGATTGATCCTAAGACATGGTTGATTCTTGGAGTTTAAATGCTTTGAAGTAAAGAGCTTCGATTAATCCTAATGGTGATTAGTGCAAGTAAAGTAGAGACACTTTAAGTAAATTGCATGGAGAAAAACTTGATAAAGTAAATAAAAGCATTAAAGGTTTGCTAAATAAATGACTTCGACGGAAGTAAATGAGTGAAAATGATAAATTGCTTGAATATAAAAGACTTTGATTAAGGTAAATGGTGTTTCACACATACATTCTCAATGATTCTTTCTCTCACGCTGGGTACTTGAATCTAAATGAGTGACTTGTATACAATGATGAACACACTTTATAACTTCGTCAACACTTAGTATTTATACTATAAAAAAATCCTAAGTAACTGTTGGGCAGTCACACCGCTTCATGATGACACCACATGGCACGCTCACGACCTTCGACGCCTACGTGCACGACACATTGCGCTTGGTAACTGCTGGGAACCGTCTTCCCTCCAATAATTCAAAATTCAAACCGTTCGATCCTGGGCATCAGGGACCTTGGTCGAGAGGTTGCTCCTTCGACGTCGAAAACAACAAGGTTTCAACTTAAAGGAATTTCTCTAAGCATCTTGTCATTCTTTGATGAGCCTTCGACGTGATCAGCTGGTCGAAGCCTTCTTGTGTCGGAAACTCTTCTGACTCAATTAATGATCTATATAATAATAGAATGTGGGTGTCGAATTTAGGAGCCAACAAATTGCCCCCAAAGAATGTCTTATTTCGACGCTCAAAAGAAAAAGGCATTCTTTGATATTCCATTCGACACCTGTCTTTCACTCTCAGCCACAAATCAGTTTGTGTGCTTTTCATCTACCAACCAACTGACAAACTCAAAAAGTCATCATTTCACCTTTTCCCAAGACGTCACTTCAGTAAGGCATTTTGCACGCACGTTTGCCTTTCATATGCTGTCATCATGACTATTTCCCGAAATCGAGGAAGCACGCTGCAACGTATCTGTTTTTCAGAACGGTTACAACGCCCACTGCGTGCCACGTGCCCCACTCTTGTCTGTGGCATTAAATGACCTCGAGCCCTGTGATTTTTCAATCACTATAAATAGCACTAAGTGCCTTAGTTGGACTCTTTACGCTTTCTTGCATCCAAACCTTTAATCAAACGAATTTTTCTGCAAACAACTTTTTGCTTCTCCCTCTCCAACCCCAGTAATCTTTATTCTACATCCATCATCATCTCAACCCAACAAATGGCTTCACGCACTCGTGCTCCCAATGCCCCAAGAGTTAGCAATCCCTCCAAGACTACTCAACCAAAAATCTTTTCAACCGCTCCGGTAGTTAACTCCATGGGAATGCGAAGGGTTCCTGAACCCATGGGTGAGGCTGAACGTGAAACTTATGGCTCTCAACTGCTGATTCCTGTTGGATATTCAACCAGGTTTTTTCCATGTCAGGCCCTCTTTCAACAAGCATCAATGACCCCACAAAAAATGAGGGTTTCTTCCCTGTGCATGCAGCACTCAAACCTGTTGGGTGCTCAAAGAAAGCAAAAGATGATACTGAAGATCCTGCAAAGGAGAAGATAGATCTTCGGTTTTTTAACAGGGGGGTTAGGTCTTTTCGCTCTAGCCCTAGTCTTACACCAGAATATGCCGCTTGGCTCCTTAAGATGGAGAGGTGCCAGGCTTCGATTTGGAAAGGCATGGGCATCTATGACCTGGTCATGTTGTCCAAAACTGGCCTTAACTACTGTCCTGACATGTTGGTAGCTTCATTGCTGTTTTGGGACTACACTCACTATACCTTCCACTTGCCTTGTGGAATGGTTACACCCACCCTCTTCGATGTGGCCGCCATTACTGGTCTTCGACCAACTGGGGACTACTTCGACCCAGAAGAAATGTCTGAAGACCAGATTGGGTTTTCTGCTACCAAACCCACCTACACCACGTACACCAACCATTACCACAACAAATCGACGGCTGTGGTAACTGATGTGGAGCACATCGCGTTTCTAGCCCTATGGCTATCGCGCTTCGTGTTCTGCACGAAATCTCTGCAGGTGACGAAGAAAATGGTCACCCTCGCTACTCAGCTTCACCACGACCAAAACATCTATTTAGCCGAATTAATATTGACGAATTTGTATGAGTCGATAAGCAGTGGAGCGGCTCAATTGAAAGTGATCGAAAATAGAGCCAGTCTACTGCTTGCTGGTCCCTTCTGGCTACTTCAACTCTGGTTGAATGCCACTTTCGAGTCTTTTCTTCCCCAGAAGCCTCAAATAAATGAACAGGCTCCTGAGATAACTAGAAGGCGCGTCGAAGGCACCAGGCTTGCCCTATTGACTCCTACTGAGGATGGGCTGGAACTACAAAAGACCTCCGCAAACTTCGTTCAGATGTTTGCAGGGAGAAAGGAATTTACCTCGACCGTGGCCCCTTTCGCCGGTCGAAAGTGTGGTCCAGGATGGTTTACCAGGGCCCATCCTAAATCATCAGAGGATCCTCACTTTGAAGAGCATACAACAATGTGGGAAGCATTTCTCACTCCAAGGATAATGCCGTTGTGTTTCAAGAGTTCAAAGAATCAGCTGAGCCTGATTGCCTACCAGCCGAATCTTGTCTCTCGACAATTTGGCATTATCCAATCGCTTCCTTATCCAATTTATCTTCGGGAGAAATCATTGTTGTTCTTTTCTACTGACTACTCTGAAGAAGCCGCTACTAGGCATATTAGTAGGTACGTTGGTCGGACCGTACTATCATTGTTCGACTACCAACTCAACTTCCTCTGTTCACCAGCTTTTGAAGACCGGTGGAAGAGATATCACGTCGAAGAGTTCCTCGACGAGAAGGACTTTGCAGACGAACTCAAGAAGTCCTTCGTCCTGGTTCGTGATAAAATAAAGAAATGTACGTTCCTTCAAATTATATTTGTCTTTTCATTTCAACTTATATCTTCCAAATATAACTTATGAACGTTTCTTCTTTCAGTTGTTCGAAAACCTGTGGCTAAGAAGGCCACAAACAGCCATCAGGGTGGAGGTCCCTCTACAAAACCTCCAGTACAGGTAACAAAAATTTCTCTTATTTCCTTCTTTGGTTTTAAACATTCTTGTTCTCGACGTTGTGTTTTAAATCGACTCCATTTGGGATTTTCAGGAACCTGCGCCTAAGAAGCGACCAATATTAACGGTCGAATCTTCGAGTGGCGACGAGGAGTAATCTCCTCCTGTTCCTCTCAAACGGAGAAAGCTGAAAAAGGCTGCCCCTGCCCCTGAATCTCGACCTGTGATGAGAACTAAAGTCACAGGGAATAAACCCAGGCCACCCCCTGTGATCATCAAAGAGCCCACGGAGGAGGAGCTAAATGTCTTGCTCAGTAATCCTGTTGAGAGCGATAACTCCAGCCCTGGGGCTGAGGTTCCTGTACATGTAATGCCTCCGACCACTTTTAACTTAAGCGTCAATGATCACCTTCGATCGTACATCTCTCTAATCAGAATATTTTTCCTTTTCTATTTTTAGGAAACGGCTGGAACTTCAGCGCCAGCTGGGCATCCTGTCGAAGGTTCTGATACCTTCGTAAACAGCGCAGGGGAACCCACCTACAATCCTTCTTCTTTCGTCAGTTCTGCTAACGAAGTGAATCAAACTTCGGGGCCGCAGGACTCTGCGGACCATAGCAGACAACGCGAAGAGGAACTGGTGGATGATGAGTTCCTTGCTGAAACAGAGGATGTCCCTGAGAAGCATCACCAGGAGGGAGCTCAAGTGGTCAATGAGACAGAAGAGCAACATGATGAAGAGGGTCATGTTGACGTCGATGCTGCTGACAATGCTCAGCCCCAAACCACCATTGCCACAGAAAAGGTTACTTCGACAAAGCCCAGGTCTAAAGAGGACTTGGCCCTCTTGAAGTAAAATGATACAATTGGCTATCTAAACGCCATCGTCGAGAGCAGGGAAAATTCATCTGACCCTAGTCATGATGCTTCTACTGCATCAGGGAAGTCTACTTCGACTTCTCCTCTCGATGATGTCTTAAAGAAAGTTAAAGCTCAATTATTCAAGAGGGATCTAATGAAGGCTTTGGAAGGGGATCCTACTGCCCAGTCTTGTTTGGGGGCTGTCTTAGGTGCAGTCGATTTGCTGGCTGTTTCTCCAGAGATTTCCAGCTTCATCTTGGAGTTATACTCCATTTTCGACCAAGTCTCTGCG